CACCAGTTGCAGCTACATTGCCCTGATATCTCCTCCCAGTGCAGAGTCAGTATGCGGAGTTATCAGCAGAAGGCTACTGGGGGACTATGATGTTAGAGGACAGAGATAATTGATGATTCAACCATCTGGTTCAAGTGCACTGTGCTTATATAAAGTGCTAACATTAGTGGAAGATGGATAAACATTGTACAGGAACTCTGTAGTTCTGTAAATTTAAAATTATTTCAAAATAAAAAGTTTAAAACAAAAATTTTAATTAAAAAATAAATCAGAACAAACAAAAAACCCAGCCCTGGCTGGAATGCCTCAGTTGGTTGGAGTGTCATCTCATAAGTGAAAGGTTGCAGGTTCAATCCCTGGTCCCAGCGTATACAGGCATGGGGAGGTCAGCAACCAATTGATGCTTCTCTCTCCTTTCTACTCTCCCTTTCTCTCTCTCTAAAAAGCAATGAAACAATGTCCTTGGGTAAAGATAAAAAAAAAAACAACAACAGCAATTTGGTGACAACCTGTTGTGTCCATCTCTACAGTGTGCACTTCCTGCCAAGATACCACAGTGTGGCTGACAGACTCCCCAGACCTGATTGGATGGCACTGTCTGAATTTACTTTTGTAATGAGTTCATGCTACCCCATCTCATTTTTCTAATAAGGTAGTTACCTTCATTTGATCATTTGTTTCTTTGGGGATATTTTGCAAATTTCCCCTCTGATCCACTTAAGAAATAACCTAACACTTTGGGACTCAGAAGTCATTCTTTTTTTTTTCTTTTTTGAGTTTTTATTGACATTGCATTGATTTATTCTACTAATTTAGAGACATTTGATAGCTTTAAGTTATTGAGTATCCCATCCAAAAATATTATATATCTCTGCTTATTGGCTTTAATTTTTTACTTTTTTAAACATTTTTATTGTTGTTTAAGTACAGTTATCTCTGTTTTCCCATCACCACTTTCCCCTGCCCCATCCAACCCCACCTCCCCCGCTCAATCTTACCCACCTTTGACTTTGTCCATGGGTCCTTTATACATGTTCCTTGACAACCATTCAGCTTCTTTCCCCTGTTATCCCCCTCTTCCCTCCCCCCCTCCCCTCTGGTTACTATCAGTTTATTCTTTATTTCAATGTCTCTGGTTATATTTGCTTGCTTGTTTGTTTTGTTGATTTTTGTTGATCTCATCTATAAGGTTACACTTATAGGTGAGATCGTATGATATTTGTCTTTCACCACCTGGTTTATTTCACTTAGCATAATCCTCTCTAGTTCCATCCAGGCTGTTGTGAAGGGTAGGAGCTCCTTCTTTCTTTCTGCCACATAGTAATACATTGTGTAACTGTACCATAGTTTGTTGCTCCACTCATTTACCGATGGGCACCTAGGCTGCTTCCAGCACTTGGCTATTGTAAATTGTGCTACTGTGAACATTGGGGTACATAGGTTCTTTTGAATTAGTGTTTCAGGATAAACCCAGCAGTGGAATTGCTGGGTCAAAGGCAATTCCACTTCTAGTTTCTTGAGGAAATTCCATACTGTTTTCCACAGAGGATGCACCAGTTCGCATTCCCACCAACAGTCTACTAGGGTTCCTTTTTCTCCATAACACCGCCAGCACTTGTTGTTTGTTGATTTATGATACTTCCTGTTTCTCCCTTGCTGCCTTTAAGATTCTCTCCTTGTCTTTAAATTTTACTATTTTAATTATGATGTGTCATACAGTGGGCCTCTTTGGGTTCTTCTTGATTGGGACCGTCTCTGCTTCCTGGACTTGTGTGGCTTTTTCTCTCATCAAACTAGAGAAGTATTCCATCATTACTTTCTCAAACAGGTTTTCTATCCCTTGCTCCTTTTCTTCTCTTTCTGGTATCCCTACTGTATGGATATTTTTCCATTTCATGTTATGCTGCATTTCTCTTAATCCTCCTTCATTCTTTTCCAGTCTTTTTTATTTTTCTTGCTCTTTTTGGGAGGTTTTTTCTACTTTGTCCTCCTGCTCACTGATTCAGTCCTCTGCTTCATCGAGTCTGTTTTTGATTCCTTCTATTGTGTTCTTTAATTCAGAAATTATATTTTTCATTTCTTCTTGGTCCTTGTTGTTTATTTCTATGTCCTTTTTTATGCTGATATAGTTTGCATTAAGTTCCTTGCAATTTCCCTGTAGTTTTTGGTAGTTTGCCCTGATTCATTGAGCTTCCTTATAACCATTGTTTTGAACTCAATTTTAGGTAGCTGACTTGCATCTATTTCATTTAGCATTCTTTCCGAGGACTCCTCCTTTCCTTTAGATTGGGCATTATTTTTCTTGTCTTCCCATTGTTTGTGGGACACTTCTTGTTTGCGTCTGTTTCTTAAATTGATCTGTTTTGAGTTTCTGACTTTATGGCATGAACTTCTATGGAGGGAAGCCTATAAGACACAGTGGTGCTGTCTCCTTGATCACCTAAACTTGATGTTCTTGGGATTTACTTTATGCCTTTTATGCTGGTTTTCTGGATGTAACTGGGCTTTGATTGTCATTGGGTTGCTCTTTTTTGGGTCCTTCCCTGCCACTGGTTGACTGAGGGTCACTTTGCCGACCACATCTTGTATGCTGTTGTGCAGGTGCTGCCTGAACAAAACCACAGAGCCCCAAAAAACAAACCCACACCTGCAAATATAACCCCCCTACACAATCCCTTATCAGTAGCTAATTAATCAGTATTAATAAGGGTGTAATGAGTTTAAGACTATTATAAGAAAAGAAAGTGGATATGAGATGACCTACTGAAAGGGAAATGATTTTGAGAGGGTAGAAAGAGAAGCACTGATAAGAGTTGAGAGTTGGAGCAATGGAAGGAGAGAAAGTAAAGTTTACCTCATGAATAAAGAAGGGGAATGAAGACTGTGGAGTGAAGTATGCAAAGAGAAGCATATAATATTAGGTTTAAACAAAAATTAAAATAAAATAAAGTGAGGGAGAGAAAGAACAAGGAAGGGAAAATATTGAATAATTAATAAAAATATAGGAGCCAAATTGGAGAGAAAGATCCACTGGAATACTATCAACAACAAATGAGCTAAAATTCTTATAGGTGATATGGGAATAAGAGGGAAAAAAAGAAACAAAGTCTAAGAGATGTTTAGAGGATTGGGAAGTGATTTTGTAATGATAGAGAAAGAGGGAGTACTAAGAGTGAGGAACAAAAACTAGACTAAGTAAGGGAAAAATTAAAATTTGGGATGTAAAGAAATAGAAAACAAAAGGAGAAGAAAGAAAAATAAAAGGGCAGTATGAAAGATACATAGAAGATAAAAAAGAAAAAGAAAAAAACAGGGTAAGAAGGATTAATTAAAATTTGAGTAAAAAAAAAAAGGAGTTGGAGAGGGGTCCAGTAAAATTTGTTATTTGAAATACAGAATTAGTGAAGCTCTATAGATAATCTTGAAAAAACAGTGCAACAAAAACTACCCTACCCACAATGAACTAGCAAAGTTTCTTACATGTGTAGAGAGAACAAGAGTATTTTTAAAGCTGGGCAAAATGATGTGAAATGACCCTTGACAAGAGGATTTGTTTTGAGTGTCTGGACAGGGGAAAAATAGTAAGAGTATGGGATGGAAAGAAGTTGTAGCTAGAGAAAAAAACAAATTTGAAGTGCAAGGAAATATTGCAAGGAAAGAGGAAGGTAAGATGGGCTAAGAGAAGGGAGGGGCAAAATATGTGGATTGAAATACACTATAGTCTAAAATCTAGTGACTTATATACAAATTTGCTGGAGAAAAAATGAATATTATAAAGCTATGCAAGAAAGAAAATATCACAAATCATGAAGAAGACCACAGTGGCTTTTGTATTGGTAGTCTCTTGTATTTACCATTGTTTTTTTTTTTCTTCCTGGATCTGCCTGTGATGATGTTATATGTTGACCCTGTCTGACCTTAGGCAGCCTATTCCTTACTTCCAGTGATCTGCTGTCACTGGCTGTCTATTTCCATTGTTAATACGGCCCCTTTGCAATCAGCAGTCAGGTTTAAGCACCATAGGGTGAGTGGGGCAAAATCCCTCTGGGGTGGGGGCTATTGTTTCCCCTCAGGTAGCTGCTGCTTGGAGGGGAGTGTTCTGCCTGAGCAGGATGATTGCAGTGTATAGGGTTTGGGGCTCTTCCTCCCTTAGCGACCCCTCCCCACACTTCCATGGAGCCCTACTACCCAAAGCCCAGACCCCTGAGGAATGTCTCCATCCTGCCCCTACTTACCCATACCCTGATCTCCATCTGAGGGGCTCTGTTTCTGGACCCTGCAACCCTCAAGGTCTACCTTGAACCAGTAGAGCCCATAGTCTCCTCTAAATGCTGGGGTGTGGAGCACAAGGTGGAGACCCCAGTTCTGCAAGATACAGTCTTCCTTGTAGAAGGAGAAGAAGAACTGAGAGGATGACCTCTGGGAATGCAGCTTTGCCTGGCATTTCAAGTCAGGAGGCTCCCCTCACTGGGCTTGGGAGAAGGGGTGGCACTCAGCACAGGAGGCAAGAACAGCTCTGGGTAGAGGTGGGCCTAGAGCTCAGGAGGAGAATCCTGGACAGTGATTTCCAAGGAGACCAAGGGAGACACTGTCATTGTCCCCCAGGACCTGGCCTCTTATTTTTGCATACTGGCTCTGAGACAACTCCCACACAGCCCAAGCCTCTGGAATCCCAGGGCCACAATACCTTAGAGGTTTTCTAGTCCCCAGGGGGTAAGGGTCTGGTCCAGGTCTCAAAGGGAGTGAGTGGCAGAAGTGGTTCATGGCTCTTCCCCCGACCCCCTGCCTCCCACAGCCATGTCCTGCTTCTTTCCCCTAGCTCCAGATGTGTCCTATGTGTGCAGTGGAGGGACAGTGTCAAGGCACTGTGTATTGGCCCTGCACCAGGGGCAGCAAGGGGGAAGGGTGCTACCCTGAGGACTGCTGACCTCTAGAAACCAGATCTCAGAACAGCACCTTAGTTTCCTCCAATACTCTTTCACCCCAAGCTGGTGACTCACCTTGAACTTGAGCCATGGCCATCCATGAGGTTTGTCTGCTCACATGTAGGATGTATATCACCTCCCCAGTGCAGCATCACCTCCCCAGTGCAGCCATGCTGGCCACTGCTCCGCATTGTCTCTGTCCCCATGGTCAGAGGCTGGCTGTCCTTAGAGAACTGGAGAAAGTTTCCATTATTGTAGAACTTCACCCAGGACTGGGCTGAGTTTTTTTCCTGGAATTGCAGAGTCAGGGTGTGTCCTATAAACATGGGGTTTGGCCGAACACTGAGGAACAGTTGGATTGTGAGACACAGGAACAGGGTCACACTGGAGCTGCAGGTTCCATCAGCCCATTTCCTCACTTTTTCTCCTAGCCCAGGGTCCCCCACCCAGGATGGAGGTCCCCAGATGGCACTCCACAGCTGTCACTGTCCCTCAGTCCTTCATACCAGACCAAGACAGTGCTTCTTTTCTTATATCCCCTTCTTCTCACTCTCTTTTTTCTCGCCTCTTCTCTTTTCTCCCTTTTTCTCTCTTCCTGACCCTACTATATATTGGATTTTCCTCATCCTTGACAGGTATATTCTAGGTAGGATCATTCCAACCACTTAGGTATTTTATTCTTCCTAGAGATTCACATTCTTTACACTTCACATCCTGCCTTGGTCCAGCCTGACTCAAATAGCCCCCACGTCCAGTGACAGCTCTCTGTCCAGACCCTGTAAGAATCAGAAATTGGGAAGCCTAGGTTGGTCCCTCCCCACCTCCCTCCTCAGAGGCTCTCTCAAGCCCATACTGCATCACTGAGTCACTGTTGTGTTCCAGTCCCCATCTCCAGAAGGGTATGGGTAACCCATAGAATCTATAGTACTCTACATATATTGTTTATCACAGCAAAAGAGTAAAGACAACTGAAATGTTAATAAGGGACTGCTTAAATAATTATTGTCCAGCCATGTAATGAAACACAATGTGGCAAGAAAAAGAAAGAGGTAAGTCCATAGTTCTTATATGGTATTAGCTCCAAGATAAAGTGTTAGTGAAAGAAAATTTAAAGCAACACCTATAACTGTGTGCACAGCACATGTCCATTGTGTATAAAAGATACACATATTCACATACATTTTATGTTTTCATATACATACATATAATATTTTTAGAATATTGTGGGTAGACTGGTTAACTCATGGGCTATGATTAGGAAGAAATGATGTTCACAATGTGCTTTTTTCTTTTTTTAAAAAAATATGCCCTGGCTGATGTGGCTCAGTGTATTGAGTGCTGGTCTGCAAACTGTAAGGTCACCAGTTCAGTGCCAGTCAGAGCACATGCCTAGGTTGTGGAGACCTCAGTTGGGGTTGTGTGAGAGGCAACCAACTGATCTTTCTCTCCCTCTCTTTCTCCCTCCTTTCCTCTCTCTCTAAAAAATAAATAAATAATTTTAAAAATTCTGTCTTTACCATGTTCTCATGTATTTTTCAGTTAAAAAGTTAGATAAAATACAAGATTCTAGCTTTCTTTATTCTGCCATACATCCTTCCATAAACCCCTCTACATTACCTGACTTTGGATCTATTCCTGGCAACTGAAGGTCCTAAGTAAGGACTGAGTTTCTCAGGACACAGTGAGAACATTTGGAAGTAAGGAGTAGACTCTGGAATCAAGAGTCCCTCAGGGTATTGTAGATCAGGCAGAGGAGGATGAATAGGCGAGAAGCATGACAACTGATGATAGGCTTGAATTTTGTTGTGGTGGAAGATAAGAGAAATAAAAAGCACGTTGGAACCCATGTCCTTGGAGTTATGTGACAAGGTCTCAGGTAGTATTGGAAGACACATGAGGTTAGCAGATGTAATCTTTACTTAGAAAAAAGGGTTTTCTGCTAAGTAATCTTTACTTAGATGTAATCTTTACAAAGAAAAAAGGGTTTTCTGCTGGAAGTTGTTTCTGATATTTCTTTCTCTTTCTCCAGTTATGGAAAAGATTCATTGTGTCCCTGTATGGCAAGCTTCCAGTAGAGCTGGTTATAACATCCTTTAGCTACTGCTGCAAGGGCTAGGACTTCAGTTGGTGGAGATGCTAGAGTAAATAAGAGAAAATGACTGAGAAAGAAAAGCAGTTTATGCCCAGGCACAGATATTTGTCACTGGGTACCAAGGAGGACAGGGAAGCCCAGAACCTTCCACAGAAGGAAAGAGACCCTGAGACCTCCCTTGACTTCACATTTGGAATATTGTAGAGAACCGCTTCTCAAGATGTGGAAATGTAGCTCAGCACCCACATGGAAAACCAGTGGGAGGAGGGTCAGCACACAGGACCATGCCCGTGAAGAAGTTCTCCCATGGGAAATCAGGCCTGCATTATACCTAGGCTGCTTTGTGACTTGCTCTTGCTAAAACTCTCTCACCCTGAGTTCAGGCAGCAAGCCCTTGCTGAATATCTTTAAAGTAACTTCATGAAGTCTGTGTTAATTCTCCCAAGGATTGAAGTGTAACCAGACCTGTTACTCTTATTATTCCCTTGCATTTGCAACATGTTTTTCTTGTTAATCTGTAGGAAGTAATCAGTAACATCCTTTCCATTTTTATCTGTAAAAAGTAATTACCTAAAGCAAACCTAAGTATAATGAATGAAAACCTTCTTTGATGTATGCTATTAGAAAGCCAACAAAAGCTTGTCAAGGCAAGGGTCGGTGAGCTCTCCTTTTGATAGAGTGGCCAGGCTGCTCCAAGGTGTTCTCCCGTGGAGAGAGTAGCTGTGCAGTCCCTTTTCCTCCACAGGACTCAGTAGTCTGTATGAATGTCTCGTCTCATCCATTACACCGCAGACACTGTAGGCCAGTGTCCTAATCAGAATATAACTTTGTACAGATGGGCACAAAAACCTTACTTACTAATCCTTCAGACAGAAACTTCCCAAATAGCCTGGATGGTCAGAATGGGACATGAACACAGGCCTACACACAGGAACAGCAGGAACATGAAATTAAAGAGGCACTATTTTCATCACTGGAATCTACAATTGAGAAAAGTATGGGGATTAGATTTGGATGATAATATGAACTGAGTCATTAAATATGAGAATGGTGGGTACAGGAAGATAAGTGAGCCCCCTTACTTCTACTTTCTCCACAGATTAAGAAAGTGCCAGCCCTCACCACTTCCCCAGCTCCACCTGGAAAATTTCTGCACAGCAATTGTCCACCCCAGTTTTAGGATCTTCATGGAGCCAGTCCAAGGCATACCTCTCCCCACTGTCTATTCTCCCTGCTTCGGGAAAAACAAGGAAAGGAGGTCTGATGGGACTTAAATGACAAGAACCTTGTCCTCTAAGAAGGAGCAGGCAGAAGACCAAGGGTCGGGGTGGGGAACTTGTTACTCTGTTAACAGAAAGGTAGATTTTCACACAGGATATGAGGTCTGGTAAGGTGGTCTCAGCAAGTGGTAAGGACTCCTAATCTCTCAGGAGCCCAGCTCCAATTTGAAGGAGGTAAATGAGCAATTATAATTACCTGGGTGACTGACGCTGGGCTGGCATCCAGACAGGCCAGGAACTAAGGAGAGAGGCAAACAACAAAACAAAGAAACAAGCAAAATATAGTCAAAGACACTGAAATAGAGGGCAGGCTGACAATGACCAGAGGGGAGAGAAGAGGGAATTTCAGGGGACATTGGGAAGGGTTTACAGGAACAAATTTAAAGGACACATGGACAAAAACTAGGGAGAGGGTGGTAGTAGGAGGGAAGTGGGGAGGGATGGGTGGGCGGGCTGGAATGGGAGTAAAAGGCAGAAAACTGTGCTTGAACAATGATTAAAATAAAATTTAAAAATAAGAAAATTCAACTAAGTTAAAAAAAAGAATTGTCTAAAGTTTTTAGCCTATCTCAGCTGTGTTGAAGAGGAAGCAGAGACCCCAAAGCTCAACATGATAGACATCAACAGTGGTAACTAAGGAAAGCCCCTAAAGAAGGTGAATCTCAAAAGCAGAGAAAACCTTAGTCTGTGTGGTCCATTTGGCCCTCCCACCATGAGAGCCTTGTTTCATAACCAACTTCAATGGCTCTGAATTTTGTTACTATCAATGAAGGCAATATTTCCTTGTAAAAATGTAGACTAAGCAGTAACTGGCTCTCTGTCCTTGCAGGAATGGGGATGTCTTCCACTCCAAACCAACTTTCCCCAAGTCAACCCCAAAAAATATTTTAATTGACTTTGTGAAAAAATAGATTGGTTTTGATTTTGAGAAACAGGGAATTCTTTTATGTTTATTTATCCTCAGGTGCTACATGAGCCTTGTATATGATTAAATGTCTCATCACTGATGTTGGTATTATTTCCCTTTAACTTCCACTTAATCATATTCAATTTTCCAAGTTTGATGCCTAGAATGGCCATGGGTAGAAAATCTTGGATGCCTGGTGTGAAGAGGGGAGTTGTAATGTCAGTTACAAACTAGAAGTAGAAGGCTACATAGGTGATATAGTTTGAATTATCTTATAGAATATCCTCTGAATCATCTCTCTGGGACCCACCCCCAATTCCTTACATGAAATTCCACTGATTTCTTTTTATCTGCCCCCACTTTCCCCAAGTTCTTTTAACGTGCAAATATTCCTGGGAAGATAAAAGTAAACCACAATATATATCTGTTTAGAAACTGTTGTAATATGTTTGCAACTGTTCAGAAAAAATGTAAATCTCTTTGGGTAAAGCAGGCTTAATTAAAGCTACGCACTCATTTTGGTAAATATGCAAGCTTAAGCATGTAAAGCAAAGGAATTTAAATCAATCTGAGCCTCAAAGGGCAGGAGTTAAGAGTCAAAGCATGGTAGCCGAAAAAAATTTCTTTGACTGGAAGAGACATTCCTGGGACTCTACCATAAATGACCTAAATAACATAAGATAATCTTTTTTTACTCAATTTAACTCAACAAAGATCTATTCTACTAAATGTAAGGCACCTTTAGATAAAACTAGGGACACAAAATTGCATACAATACTCCTCATTCCCAGGCAGTCTAGCTATGCAGTAAAAACACATATGGAGAAACAAAGCAAAAGGTAATACCAGGACAGTTTAAAGAAGGGAGATAGCTCACTCAGATGGAGGGCTCAACTGGCGTTGAGAAGGGATCTGGAGACTGTT